TCTTTCCCTCAAGTCAGTACCATATTATAGATTTATCACATGCTTTTAATATCTGGTAGGGTAAATATCTCCTCTCATCACTTTTATTTTTCAAAGTGTTCTCAGCTCTTCTCTCCTATTTATTCTCCCAGGTAAACTTTTCAATCACTCACTGAAGTTCCAACAAACGATCCCATTGGGATTTTCCCTGGAATTTCATTAAACCTGGAAATGGCTCTGGGAGGATTCATTTTGCTCCATCATGAACGTGGTGTGTTTCTCCTTATTCGGCCCATTTGTAAATGTTTGCCTTTCTCTCCCACAGTGGCCCCAAGTCCCCCAGTTCTCGTAAAGCTGATGGCTCCCAGGCCTCCATCCTGAGACCCTAACCGGGTCCTGAGCTGGGAGTGGCATCATTTCTCCTGCATCTCAGGGGCCCACAGGCTCAGGCCACCTGCTTTTCACCATCACAACCGTACGCCCGGGACCCTCAGTGCCCACGCGGTGTTTTGATGTAGTGAACTCACTTCTGAAACTGTCTGCCATTCGTACCTTCCCTTCCCATCTTGTTGCCTGTCCTGTCTTGAGCGGTAGACCCTACTGGCGGTGAGACAGGCTTGCGGGGACCTGGGACCCTTTGCTGCAGGGCCTGCACCTGGGCACACCTCTCCTCCAGCAGCGGGACACAGACAAACTGTACAAGACTAAAAATAACTGTGTGCGTGCCCAGTTGGGTCAAATTCTGGACCCCAAAGATACAAAGAGACCAAAAAACCCAACTGCCACTTTTGAAGAGCCTGGAGCAGAAACAGGGTGTTGGGAGCAAAAGCAGGGCACTGCGCGTGCCCCCTGCACACACCACCATCTAAGGGGTGGGCAGACCACCTAAGTCGCCCCTCCGGCCTGACCCCTGGACACACCCTACCCTCACCCCATATAAGGAACTATCTCGCCCCGCCTTCAGGGAGCAGGTAAGCAAGGGAACCTGTTGTTGGCTCTCACCCCACCCTGTTGCAGCAGCGGTGCCAGCAAAGCCGTGCCTGAACTTCTTGTCTGGCCTCTGATCAATTTCCATTGATTAAGGAAGCTAAGAACCCTGGTCCGTAACAGCAGGATCCAGGTCAAATAGATTTACACAGCTCGTATTCTCACAGCATCAGATGTCAGCACATTGGACATCTTTAACTGGTCATAAATAGACAAGAACATGATCCCCATATTCAGACCATTGACATTTCCCTCTTCTAATGAGCAGCTCTCAGTATTTGCAGAGTCTCATGTCGACACAGGAAATGCTGGTGGGTTTCCCCTTCCTGAGGGCGAGGTGTGGCCCTCCCGCACCCTGCTCCCGGCCCAGGGGGCAGATAGTGAAGCCTCGTTATCTATAAATAACATCTGTGAAGTTTACAGTTGGAGAGAAAAATTGAATTATTATTATTTTTGCTACCCTTTCAAATGAAATACAACCTTGATTACGATGGGGATGTTGGTGATGAGAAGAGAAAGAAAAGAACGTAGCATTTTAATATTTCCGTTTTTTTCTGAAACGTCGGAGACCCACTTACTGCTTAACTTACACCATAGACATAGATGTATTTAAATTCTCCCTGGCTTTTAAAAGGGGCACAGCTGCCGTCTGTGGGGTTGTGTGGACTGTGCCTGCTAGGGATGCCATAGCGAGGTACCACGGATGGGACAGCTTAAGTAACAGATACTTATTCTCATACAGTCTGGGGGCTGAGTCCAAGATCGAGGTATGGGTGGGGTTAGTTCCTCCAGAGGCCTCTCTCCTTGGTGTGTACACGGCCGTCTTCTCCCTGTGGCCTCACATGATCATCCTTCTGTGTGTGTCTGTGTCCGGATCTCCTCTTCTTATAAGGACACCAGACAAATTGGATTAGGGCCCACCCTGTGATCTCATTTTACCTTAGTCACCTCTTTAAAGACCCATCTCTAAATACAATCACATTGTGAGGTGCTGGGGCTTCAGACATCAACGTATGAATTTGGGGGACACAATGCAGCCCATGACAATATCTCTATTATGTCTGAGCTACTCGCCAGGAACTTGCTCTGTGGTTTTGGAAAGTTACTGAGCATGTATTGCTCCAGGGTTGGTACTCTCATCTTGGCTCAAAGAGCACAAAGTGTCCTCTAAGCTCTAACGTTCATGGCTCTTTGTTCGAGATTGTGCTACATGCATTCTTGTCTGTGGAGGGTTGAAAACTGCTGTGATTCACGACTATGCTCCATCAATATCGCAGTGGTCACCTCTGATCTTTTTCTTCAAAGTAACAGGCAAATATTGTGGGGTCATTTTGTTGCTGAGTAAATCCAGAGACCCTGAACTATTGGCACAAAGGCTGAATTGTCGCATTGGTGATGGGTCACTGATGTAAGGCCAATAATTTTTCCTGCTTGGGTTGCACGTCCCAAGTGTGAATTCTGTGCTGACACTGTCAGAGATATTTACCCACTGTCTATAAACAACAGGTTGTCTGCCCACAGCTAAAGTAGCCTTGGGACAGTATCAGCGGACGGCATTTCTGCTCAACCGATTAGTAACGTGTCCAGACATTCTAGGGCCATTTTCTGAATTTAAAAGTTTGAATGTTTAATAAAGTACACTTTGGGCCATTTTAAAAGACTTAGCCAGGACAGCCGAGTCCAGCAACAGTGCTGGTTTTCTGTCCTTCTGACCCATAATCACATGTCACAGTTTGTCTTATTTCTTCCCCAGCACAGCTGGGGTGCTTCCAAAACACGGCCAATCAGACACCCCCCAGCCCAGCCCAGTACTTAGTTTTCTCTTCTTTTGCTATAATTCTTGCCAATACTTATCAATTCCTAGGGGAAACTTGTTTCTAGAAGGAATAGTCCCAGAAATGTTCAGCTTAAAAGCTGGAACTGTTATTTTGGTGACAGGTGACTAATAGATTAACTGTGAGGTGAAAGATGCAATAGCCACAAACTCATTTTCTCCAGAATCTTAGTTGCATAGTTCTAGAAACATCCAGTTTGCCGACTGCCTGGCGACAGTGATGCTCTCTCGTCCTGAGCAAGGATTGGAGGACTTGCTAGAGGACAGGGACCAGACGGGAGCCCACACCACCTGGACCTCAGATGGTCAGTTGGGGGTGGAACCGTCATCTTCTCCCGTGTTACTCCTTAAATGGTTCAGTGGACCGGGTGATGGACTGAGCTTGTTCTAAAAGGAACCAAGTGCTTCCTTGATTGCGTGATGTCATCTGGCCCCTCCAGCTCCCTGGGCCCAAGTGTTCTCAGCTCTCAGGGATGATGATGTACCTGATTATCTCTGCAGTCCCTCATGACACCAATGTCCTGTGATTTTGTTGTGGCCACTGGACACATGGCCATGTCCACACCCACAAAACTGTTCTTTTCCCGGACGACTGGGCTACCCACACCTGGGATGGCTGTGATCTTTTCGTGGAAGCCATATCCCTTTCCACGTTGGGTGTGGGAGAGCTCGGAGGCTGGGGCCCACAGCGTGCGTGGTGTGCACAGAGCTTGGCCCTGGGTTTGTCTGACTTCTCTCCCTTTATTCTCCCTTTGACCCCTTATATTCTTTTCTTTAAACTTAAAATTGATTAATTTAGATTTTGAATAAGTAATGCATTTCTATGGTTGACAAATTTAAAAATTATGCAGTGGTGGAGGGTGAAAAGTCTCCCTCCCATTCCTATTCCATTCTCCCAACTCCCACCCTCAACCCTGCAGGTAGCCACTGTTAGAAGTTTATAGACATCTTCCCTTCCAGGGAACTTTTACGCATGAACGTGCATATAAATACATATTGTGCAGATATAAGTACAGATGATGATGTTTTAATGCATCTGTTCCCCACAGTTAGTACTATCCTATACACATTGTTCTGCAACTTCTCTTGGATTTTTTTTTATCAGTACCTAAAATATTTCCTCGTGATCATTTTTAAAAACCTCGAGTATTCGATTGTATGGATGTATCATAATTTATTTCACTGGCTTATCTTTAATTGAATGATCTCTTCTATGGTGCTTGTATGCCTCTATAATTTGTTATGCTCACAATAAGGAGGTGGTATTTTGTAGTCCTTTTGGGATTATGATCTCAGAAAAGTTTTGTAGAGTAATTGATGTTTTCTGAATGTTTTCAGTGGAAAACCACAAATCAACCAAGATATTTACCATACACCTGCAGGGATAACGTTGCCAGCACGGAGAAGGCAATTTTTACCAACAGTGGAACTGTCTAGAAGCATACAAGCACCATGGCCACTGTTTCCAAAAAGACGCTCTCAGACACTAAGTCTGAGAGAGGCGTCTGGGCTGCAAGGGCAGAGCGGCACTCACCTGTGTTTCACCCAGGTGTCACACTCGCTAGCTCGCTCCGTGTAGTTCTCGGGCAGGAAGCCCCGGCAGCCGGTCTGCTGCGAGATCCCAATCACCCAGCCCTCGCTGGCTTCCTCCTGCTGAGTGGGGTCCACGAAGATGTAGTCGCCGGGACTGAGTGTCAGCTCATCCATGTTCTGCGGTTTGTACTGGAACAGGACCCTCAGGGTCTAGAATGGAGGAAAGTGTCTTCATGTCTCAAGCAAGGATGGGTTCTGTGTCTCCAAGACACATCCAAGCCTCTGTCTGATGACAGTAGAATATGACAAAAGGAAGTATACACTTGTTCAGATGCAATTCAGAAATGAATTTTGGTATCTATCTATCATCTGTCTCTCTAGTTATTATCTATCTATCTATTTATCTATCTATCATCTATCTACTAACTCTCTATCATCTATCTATACATGTCAATCATCTATCTATCTATCATCTATTTACCTATCTGTATCTATCAATCACCTATCTATCTAATCTATTACCTATCTATCTACCTCTTATCTACCTATCAATTTATCTATCTACCTATCATCTATCTATCTCTATCATCTATCTACCTTTTTTATCAGTCTACTATCTACCTACCTATTTATCTCTGTTTACTTATTTCTTTTTATTTATTTATTTATTTTTATTTATTTGTGGTACGCGGGCCTCTCACCGCTGTGGCCTCTCCGGTTGCGGAGCACAGGCTCCGGACGCACAGGCTCAGCGGCCATGGCTCACGGGCCCAGCCACTCCGCGGCACGTGGGATCTTCCCGGACCGGGGCACGAACCCGTGTCCCCTGCATCGGCAGGCGGACTCTCAACCTCTGCGCCACCAGGGAAGCCCTGTTTACTTATTTCTTCTATGAAAATCTCAAAGCATAACCAGATGTTCACATCCGCCCCCCTTGGAGTGAGGTTATTTACAGCTTCTCCCACACCACAGAACACGGTGGATTCATTCATACTTGTTCCATGGGTCTGAAAGGAACATAAGAAGCTTTCTATCTAAAGCAATCAATCCCACGGGGAGGGAGTCTTGAACCGAGGCTTCACTCAAATCATTATCTAAACAAATTAACAAGCACCACAATGTATTCATAAATCTTTGCAACCGTCCATTTTTGATACCAGAAATGTTTCCACTTTTTCCCCAAATTTCTGTGTCTGCGACTCATATATACAAAAGAATGTTAATTCCAAAACGCAGGCCACAGAATGATTTTAGACAAGGGACAGAAGTTCGTCCTTCTGCTGAAATACCTCCATCCGAGGGCTCCTGCGGGTCAGGGCTCCGTCAGGAGGGCAGCGTTCACCTATTCCCATGGCGAGGTCCAGTCCAGCCGTCGCCTGCATTCGCTCACCTGGTAGTGTACAAAGCGCATGTCCCGGGAGTAGAGTGCGGCCGTCCACTGGCAGCCGTGGCCGGGGTGGACGGCTCTGGCCAGCTGCTCCAGCGTCCTCTGGTGGTGGGGATAGAACTTGTGGGCCAGGGTGAGATGCAGCTGCTTGGTGCAGGGCTTCACGGTGCAGTCTGTGAAATCAGGCAAACGGGGCACCTTGACCCAGACGTCCGCACTGCACGCCCGGGGTCTCCGCATCCGGGGTGGCCACGAGCCCGGGTTGGAGGTGCAAACGCCTTTACACACGCACCTCCTGCCTCTGCCCACTCCCCTCCCCACACCAGCGCTTCCCCGACAGGGCAAGGAGTTGGCCCAGACGGGCCACCACACAGAGGTCACCTCGTTAAGGAGGTGGCTGGGTACTTGCAGATTCTACGAGGAAGCAGGAAAGCAGAGGGTATAGAGACACGGGTTTTGGGGGCGGCTGTTTGTGGCCCATCAATTTGCAAGCTAATTGCCCCAACAGTTGATTCAAATCTCCTTCATCCCCCGGGGTGTGCATGTTACACAGTGGCCTGAACGGGTGGGCTCACGCTCCAGTCAATGGCTTTTTGTTCAGTTGCAGAATCTCTGGAAGAAAATGCCCTAAGCAATGCGATTCCATCAGGCATCGCAGTGCCTCTAATATTCTGCTGACTTTGGTGAAGCAGGAAGCCCTTGGAGCGGCCAAGGCCCTGGTCTTTTTTTTTTTTTTTTTTTTTTTTGTGGTACGCGGGCCTCTCACTGTCGTGGCCTCTCCCGTTGCGGAGCACAGGCTCCGGACGC